AGAGCCCAAGCTGGACGTGATGGACCAGAGGCTGGGTGTCCTGGCCCAGGAGTTCAAGGAGCTGGTCTACCCCCCCGACTACAACCCCGAGGGCAAGGGTCCCGCGCAGAAACGCAAGCCAGGTGAGGGAGGAGGGGGCCGGGGGAGGGGCCGGAAAGCGGGAGCGCAGAAGCAGGCAGAGGGGGAGCAGTTTTCCAGCTGGGGAAGACGGAGGAAAATGGCTGTGAGGGTGGGCGCCGGTGCGAGTCCCAGGCTGACGCAGTGAGTCCTCCTGTCCAGCAGAGGGCGGCGGCGGGGCGGAGAAGAAGGCCCGCGTGGAGGTCTCGGAGGAGGGGTTGCGGGCCCACTTGGAGAAAGGCACCCTGGGGAAGCTGACGGTGCCGGTGCTGAAGGACGCCTGCCAGCAGCTGGGAGTCCGGACCACCGGCACCAAGAAACAAGAGCTGATAGACGCCCTGACCAAGCACTACAGCTGCTGAGGCCACCAGGGGGCGCTGTGGGGGCTGGTGAGTGCGTGGGCCTCCGTCGGGAGAGCGATCAGGATTCCTTTCCGCTGCGGATCAGCTGCTCTTCGGGTTTACTTTGTTTTTTTTCTTTTCCTGGGAATTTAGAATCGCCAACCGTTTCCCACCTTGTAAGCCCCCCCCCCCAGTGTTGGAAGTGGCGACTGTCAAGTCTCCATCCCACCGCTGCCACCATCGCGTTGGGGACGGGGCCCCCCCGTGCTGGGCAAGCGCGCGCCGTGGACGCGCCCCCGCTAACCCCCAGACTCCTCAGGGCGAGGCCTGACGCAGCTCTCGCCGACAGCACTAAAACCCGCCGTCTGCGAGGTGACCACAAGGGGGCGATGCTGCGCAGCTAGCCCAAGACACCTGGGTGAATCCTGGCCCCGCCCAGATATCCCACCTTTGGTTGTGTCAAAGCTCTTCGCCCGCAGAATCGCTGTTCTTGCCACCTGTTGTTCCCCCTCGGGCCTGCAGGCTGGGTTCTGTCTTCACACACTGATGGCGCCCTTTGTATTTGTCTCCCCTGTTTGCTTTTTTTAACTTGTTAATAAAACTGGAATATAGAAAAAGTTTCCTCTCTCTTTCGTGTTTTTTCTCTCCCCCCCCCCCCGCAGATTGAGCCAGACGGCCATGCTGAGTTTTTATTGGGGTTTTCTCCTTATTTGCTGTACATTGGCACGGGCAGTATGACCACTGTGTGTCTCCCAGGTGGGGCTGCAGGTGCAGAATAATCACTGTGTGTCTCCCAGGGGGGTTACTGGTGCAGAATGATGATTGTGTGTCTCCCAGATGTGGTTACTGGTGCAGAATTATCACTGTGTGTCTCCCAAGTAGGGCTGCTGGTGCAGAATGATCACTGTGTGTCCCCAAGGTTGGGTTACTGGTGCAGAATGATCACTGTGTGTCTCCCAGGTGGGG